ACAAGTATTCCTCAGGGCCTTTGTTTGCTCTTACCCCAATCCCAAACAATTACTCCAAGAGAAGCACTGCAAGGCCTAAAGTATTAACACTGAGGACTTGGGGGCTCTTTTCTCCTCACCTTGGAAATCATCAGAGAACATCAATGTTGCTTCCAGTGTCAGGTTCTGTGAGAGCTAAAAGTGATACCAGAGAAGCTAAAGCTCCTTKCTGGGCAGGTGTCAGTGTTGGCTGTAGGCTCCATGCCTGGGGACTGATTTCCCAAATCATGCTGTCCCCCTTCATTGCATCAGAGAAAGTTGGTCTGCACATAATTTGCTCCTTACTTACTCGGTGAGTAGTTGCTCAGAGTTATAAAGTASGTGGCTGGATCTGAACAAGTGAATTGTGTCTGCCTGGTGTGGTGTAGCTTTTGTTTTGTAGCTGAAATTTCCTGCACTGTCCCTGTACTTTAATGTCTGGGTGTTTGTTTTGGTAGGTGTTTTTGGTTTTTTGGTTGGTTGGGCTTTATTAACACATGTATTATTTATATTGCTATTGTGTTATGGGTATAACATGTAGTCTCAAAACTCAAAGCAGGCATGTTATCAAAAGCTCTGTTCTGGGGCACATAACCTTCAAGAAAATGGAAAGATCTATTAAGTTCCAGCACCAAAATGAGACTGAAATAATTTGATTAGGATGCATCTCCTATGAGGAAGATGACGGGGACTGTGAGATGCTCCTGTGTGGCCATGGACTGAGCGGTCAAGGGGCTGCATTTCCGCAGGCTGCTGATCCAAGTTACAGGCAAAAGCAGGGCGAGCTGGGGCCAGCCTTGAGCTGCCAGAAGCCCTTCTGTGGCATTTTCAGCCTCTCCATCTGGTCAAGACCCTCATCTTTCCTGGAGAATTAATGTTCTAAGCACCTGCCCTTCTGCAATTTTTCTGCCTCCCGCAGCACGTGAGCTCCCATGAAGGGTGGAAGTGGCTAATGGTGTCTTCAGGTCTGCCAGGGGGATAATGTCTTTTGTTACCTCTGCAGATGGTGCTGGAGGCATGGATAGAAATGTGAGTGTTTTTATTATGTGGAAGAAAAGTAGGATGCAGAAAAGAACAACAAAAATATGGAGTCTGGTTTTTTAATTTAAGATAGAGTGGCATCTCATTGAAGTAAGTCACAAGTGCTTCTTCTCAGGGAGGATATAGAGGAGAATAAAGGTCTCTCTAAGGGAGAAAGCCTGGGGGAACCAAAGAGTTGATCAGTGCTAAGGTGCCTGTATCACCCAAAGTCTTGGGGTTGCCTGCAGTGATCTCCAGCAGGACATGTCTGCTGCCCTCCCAGCCTTTCCCATGCTTTCTGTCTTTGCAGAGCTGCTTTTTCTTGGAAGTATGGTGGACATGGTGCCCATCGGTCCCAGGGCAGCTCTGGAGACTCAGGATTGCTTTCCCATGTTTGCAGCCTAAAACCTGCTCTTCCTGACTGAGCTTCCTTTACTTTGCCAGTCATGGTCCACCCCATCATGCAGAAATGGCCGCTCGGGAATGGTCTGGCATATTTTGTCTCTGTATTGACCTTCCTCAAGAAACAGGGAGAAGCTACTTCTCCATCCTTGTGAAAGCTGCACCCTGAGGCACATTGTGCAGGTACCTTACAGCTGGTGCAGTGCTGGACCCTGCTCCAGCCCTGTACTGACCCAAATCTCATGTCTCTGAAAATATTGCCTGTTTTGGCAATGGACTTTTAGCATTGGTCTTCATTTACACCATTATCAAACAAAAGGACTGCTSTTAAGTACTGTCAAATGCCAGAAAATCATGAGGTCTTTATAGTGTGTCAAGTATGAGCAGAATAGACTTTGCCCTGATTCCCCCAGGACATGAGGACCCCAACTCTCCTCTCAGCTGGTATTTTTTTTCCCCAGGAAATGCCCAGTCTGGCTTTCCAAAGTCCTTTCTCTCCATTATCAAACCTCACATGGGCCTATGTGACTTTTTTCTCTCTCTGCAGAAACCAGTGGCTTTGTAATCCCACCACTGTTTGATTAAAAAGCAAATATTGCTCCTATGCTCAAGGAGCACAGCATTGCTGCCAAGCCACCAATCACCAAGAAGGGTTTTTTTTGTGCAAGTGGTTATGGCCTGTTGGAAAAAAAAAACAAAAAAACCCACGTCCAAATGTGGTTAGCCAGCATAGGCCAAAAAACCTAATAAAGATGTGAGGTGTAAGGGAGAATTTAAGAATGGCTTGTCAGCTTGGGAATTCCAGGGAGATTGTTTCTCACAGCGATCAGCAGACAAGGCATTGATGGTGCTGGTCTGTTTTAAAGCATTAGAGCTTTGGAGGGGAGAAGTGTCCAGGTTGGACAGAGGTTTGTGCTTTGGGTCTGACCACAGAGAGACGGGCGGGGCACAGGCAGAGGGGGACACACTTGGCAGGCCTGGGTCACAACAGTTGGTTAAATTATCTTTTCTTTTTTCCCTTTTGGCAGGAATGCTGTGCAAGTCACACTGTGTGAAGTACGAGATAGGGAATGATGCACTCCTGGCCATGGAGGCATCACTGAGCTCCCAATCCAAATCCCAGCCTTCACCTGGCATTTTTAATGATATCCAGATGGCAGGCTCAGGGCTTGGACTCCAGCAAATGCATCATGAAACAATCAAGTGTGGGAAAGCTTTGATGGAGGCCAGTTAATAAACCCTTTGAAGGCTGTGATATCTTGAATGGTAGTTTATCATTTGTCTTAATCTTTTTCATGACAGATTTTTAATACCATTTGGCAACAGCATTGATTTTTTGAAGAGATGGCATCACATGCACCACATGTGATTTTGCTTCTTGTTTTTTCTCAGTTAGTTGCATGTGGTAAATCTTTTTATGTGGTATTTCAAGGTTTCTTTAAGAGGAGGAAATTAACTTACAGGTGTTAGGTGTATTAAGCAAAAATTAAGACATTCCATTGCATTATACAACTTTACTCCTAACAAAAAGGAGGGATTGGAATCTTTTTTTCCATGTTGTATTTGAAAAGAAAGCTCTTCTTAGCCTTTAAAAAAATTCTTATTTGACCTTTCTTCCCCCAAGTATTTTCCAGGTCTCTGGCTGCTGCYCTAACACTCTCCTCCCACTGTTACATCCGGTCACAATTCCCTCTCATGCATTCTGTGGCTGTCTGTTCCCTCTTTAAATAGTTCATTGGCAACTGTCCATGCCCTCACCCTGCAGCCCTGGGATCTCGTGGTCCCCCTCTGATCTCAGGCCCTCCAGCAATACTGAAACCCATCAGGGAAGCTCTATCAGAAACTACGGGACAAATGGCACATAGTTCCATCTGAAAATAAAGCAACAGTGCCAAGTGTAGAAATCAGCTACTGCGCCAGTAGAAATTGTTTTGTGTCACGGACTGGCTGAAAAATGGAAGTTGTAAAAAGAGCAGGGAAGAGGTGAGTCATTCTTCCTGGGCTGATGAAGACATGGGGAAAAGGTGAATTGTCGTTCCTGTACTGGTTTTAATGTTGGTTGTTTGGCTGTTTTTTTTTTTTTTTTYCCCCCAGTTTGCTGCTTTCTTGCTCTCTAGAGGTGGATGGAAAATTTATTGGCAAAAATTAAAAAATAAAACTCTGCTAGATTCATACTCAGGAAGGTGCTTTAAAAACCAGTCCCCCAGAAACGTTAGTAAACCAGTGAGGAATAAGCTATGCCCTTTCATAAACAGTGGGCAAGAGGAATTAAGTGTCTCAGTGTCCTTGAAAAAAGCAGGAAGACTGAAGTGATCTCTGCAAAAGGAGRCCTAAGGGCTGGAATTGCTAATGGGTCTGGGCGGGGAGGCTGCTCTGACAGCTCCAAGCAAGGGTGGATACCTGTGTGGCTCATCTCAGTGGAGCGATGGCTGAGAAGATTAATTCACAATTATGTTTTCTGGTTATGTCACTGTAAAGGTTAATGCATACCAGAGTGCATCCAGAGAAGCTTCAAAAAGGAATCTTGTGCAACCAGAGTGGGCTCTGGGATAAATCACCTGAAGGACGCTTCAAATTTGTGAGGAACCTGAAACAAAGTTGTAAGGATTTTTCCTTTCTCTGCTACTCAGAGAGAAGCTGTATTATTTTAGAAATCAGTGCCAAGACAGGGACATCTGTCACATGCCCAGGAAGATAGAAACTAAGTTTGACAGTGCTCTCCTGGCTGAAATCCACAAGGAGAGATGTTTTAGGGATTAATACCACTCCATGTGGCAGGGGTTCTTCTTGGCAGAATTGCCAAGAAAAAGAGGGAACAAACTTCCCTCCCTGGAGCTGGCTGCTTCCTTTGAACCAGGTGGGAGTTTTGACACCAAAACATTTAAATACTGTTGGGTGAGTGTCCTGCAAGACTTTGATTAGAGCAGAGCAGTGCTCATTAGACTGATTTGTTTTAGCAGCTGTCCTACACAGGAGAAAAGATAAATAATTAGAAGTAAACTCTGCATTGCTGTTTCAAATGTTACGACCCATCCTTGTTTTGACAGTCTCTGAACAATGGCAGAAATGGGCTGAGTAATGTGACCACGCATCCAGAAAAGCCTTATTCCAGAAAACAAGGATGGTAAATCACATGATGCCCTATGAGAYGGGGTGTTTTGCCAAATTACTGCTTCAGAGGAAGTGAGAACAATTTCAATAAATGGAATGTTGATTCATCAGTTTCAGGCATTCAGGAGCCCCACCGGCCCTTCTTCCCCACTTGCCACCTTGCAGTTTTAACTTTTAATTGGTGATGTCTACCAAAGACTGGTGGCTACCTGTACTTGCTGCCAGAGGAGCCTATTTTTCATCTTTTTAAAGAGCATAAAAAACAGTCATAGGAAAACAGGAAGGCTTCAGCACCTCTTTTAACCACCAGCAGACAATTCTGTAGAGTCAAACACAGGSAGCAAGAGCCACTTAGGAGTAACACATCACCAGAACAGCCTTTTAATCTGTGTTGAGTTTACCCTGATGTACAAATCTGTTCTGTGAGACACAAGACCAAATCACCAGCAAGCTCAACAAGGACAATTTTTTGTGGCATGGCAATGCAACACAAAGCACTTTGTGTTGTGCCTCTAGAACTTGTGTTAGAAGTGGCCAACAGGTGTGTTGTAGCCTTGCATGTTAGAGGCAAACAATGACCACCCAGAAGAAGCTGGAAGTGGATCAACCAGCTTATATCACCTGCAAAGATTTRAAGACCTGATTTTGTCTTCCTTAACATGCACACAGGTCTGTCACATAATTAATTCTATGATTCAGTGCTGTTTAAATGCACTCATAACCGTGATGGCTTAGTCCACACTGACACTGCAGCACTGTTTTATAGCACACCGTAGGCCTACATGAATGCAGCTAAAACAGTGGGGAAGGATTCTTTAACTGGGACCTTCCTATAAATGTCTGACTCTGTTTCTTTGTGATTGTTCAGCTCTCTATTCCAGCTGCTGCCTTCTATGAAGTGTGGCTAATAACAGCTGGACAATTAATTCCTTAACAACTGTAAAATGCTCTAGTATAAACAGAAGAGGATTTTACCATGTATTTCTTCTTGGTGTATCTAGACTGAATATGCTGCTCCTAGAAAGCAGCTGATTTCTGAATAGAAACAGAAATGGAAAATAGAGAAATAGAAATTCTTGTATCCTATTTCTCCCCTTCCCCCATTCATTTCATAATAAAGAAGGGACTACTATGAAATATTTTAATTTTAACCTTGGATAACAGAATCTTGTATACAGGAAACCCTCAGGCACACATTTTACAGGTGTTTCCAAAGGTAGGTTGAGCAGGATTGGACAAAGACCATCATTGCCACATGGGATCTGGTCCTGTCATGAGCTGTCAGGGGCATTTTTGTTTGCCCTGGACRCAGCTGAGTGTGGAGAGACCTTTGGTCACCAACCTGCTTGTGCCTATAGGTGCYCGTGGCTACCAGCCATTGCATGTGGAGTGGTCTCGTGCAGTTCCAAAAGTCTGAGAGATGGGGCTTTGTCTTGGCTGTTCAGGCCACCCTGAGGATATTTAGAGGCCATGCAGACATATTTCCAAGCATCTAAAAGTCAGGTCTGATTTCTTACTGTTTAAACATAATCCAGTATTTGATAAAAATTATGAAYGAAAAAAGAAAGAACAATTACAAGAAATGCATAAATTAATATACACATATCATCAAAATGAATTACACCATCAAGTCCCGGCTTGAAGATAATACTTGTAGAAGCCACACTAAAATCAACTAGCTGCTTGGCCATTCGAAGTCCTGAGCTTACACTGCTCCTGTTCAGCCATTCCTTTTTGTGTTTTYCTGCTTTCCACCAAGGAGCATGTGATTTGTGCTGAAAGAGAGGCAGCATGAGTCACATCCAAGCTCYCTCCATGTGGGGATCACCCCATCAGGATAGATACACCTGGGCTAGGAGCTGCAGAATGAAGAAAACTTCTGTCCCTTACACACATCTCAGTTAAAACTCATAAATGTCCAAAAGCATCCCTGCTGAACCTGTGGACACAGAAGTGCAGTGGATGAGTGGAACATAGTTACAGTGGGACAAACTGCAGCCAGTGATGAGAGTCCAAGAGATGCAGCCAAAACTGCTCCAAGATGGGAGCTCTGCTCAGAGATCCTCCTGGTGTGTTTTGGTGGTGAGGAGCTGCACGTTTCCCAGTGTGTGCCAGATGCAGCTCTGCTCATTGCAGGGGGCGCCTGGAGGTGGGGATCCTCTGTGACAAGCCTGCAGGCAGTGGTGAGTGGAAAGGGTCCATTTGAGGTTCAGGTTTGCTCTGGAGCTTCCCTCGTCTCGGCCAGCCCTGTGAGCRGCTGCTCCTGGAATAGGGAGCTTTGCTCTGAGCCCCGCAGCAGCATTCCCAGGATGGCCAGAACTTCTTGTAGCCCCTGGCCAGTGTGGGCACTGCACCCCCGGAGCATCCAGCGGCGCCCTGCCAGCCCCCCCAGCYGCAGCATCTCCCCCAGCTCAGCAGGAGCCAGCGCTCCTGGCACCTCCTGCTTGTTGGCCAGAAGGAGCACAGGGATGCCAGCCATGCTGGGGTGGCTCAGGGCTCCCTCCAGAGCTGCCAATGCTTCAGCCAGCCGGGCCATGTCTGTGCTGTCAAGCACGAAGATGAGGGTGTTGATGTCTTCCAGGTAGTTAGGCCAGCTGGCCCGCAGGCTGTCTTGTCCACCAACATCCCAGAGGGTGAAGGATATGCCACAGGGTGTTTGCAGAGACTCCACGTTGAATCCCACAGTCGGGCAGGTCTCCACAGCCTGGCCACACTTCAGTTTGTACAGAAGGGTGGATTTGCCAGCGAAGTCAAGCCCCAGCATGATAACTCGAGCATCTCTTTTCCGCCAGCCTTTGGAGATCAGCTTCCCCATCAAGAGACTGCTGCAGCTGTGGAAAAAAAAGCACAGCAAAAAAAAAAATAGAAAGTGAGTGGCTTTCCTTGACAATGTCAGTTAATAACAGTGCTCCGTCCTGCCCCTCCGAAAGCACACTTGGGTTTGCAGAAGGTAGACAGCAACAGCCAGCTTTTGCTTCTCTCAAATGAGGTGAGAGCTATTATTTATGAGCTATGGAGCAGAGCCGGGGAGTGATGTTTCAAACAGCAGTTTCTCTACCCCAGCTCCACTGCCGCTCACTCCCATTTTCATTCAGGACCTGAAGTGATTGGTGCAAAAGAAAGCTAACATTTTGCAGGAAGGGGTGGGGAGATTGTGGAGCACGTTTCCTCCTCACCACATACATAAATAAATGAGCTTTTGTTCATTGGCTTCTCTAGAAGAAATCCACCCCCAGCAGGACAGGACAAGGAGGAGCCCGAGCTTCAGAGCAGGRTTACTCTGGGAATTTGCTGAATCACAGCTCAAGGGTGTGGATTTAAAGCCTCTTGAACAACAAGAATTTTTCTGCCAGTCTTTTGTTTAAGAGTTCAAAACAAATCACTGTATCATCAGCTTTTACTACCTTTTTTGCAAATTGTAACAACAGCAATTTTAAAAAATGCACACAAGCTTTTTTTTTTAATGTCTCACTGAAATACAGTGAGTCAAAATGCCATTCCTGGGGCAAGAATCTGTAAAATTATTTACAACAAAGTACTTACTACATTTTAACTTTTGTAAGTGAAGCAAATGCAATCCTCTGTGGCTGAGGGGGYATAAAAATCCCCTAAAAGCGTGGGAAAGTGTTTAACAAGACAACACCCCTTGAATTTTACATACCAGGGGCAAAAATGTGCTGCTGCAACAGCTCCCAGACTCGCCTGTGCAAGAGTGGCTGATGACAGCCAGCAGAGTCCCAGCAAAGCCAGTATTTATTTACCTTCTTTATTGATTGGGTTTTGCTCCTAGGAGGCTGCTCAGAGGTGTGTACATCTCACCTCAGGGCAGTAAGGCAGAGCTGCTCTCTAGTCACCTTTATTTGAGAAGGAAATGGAATTCACCCCTGCTTCCTTGGGACCATGGGGGAACTTAACATATCTGTGGGAGACTGCTATGCAGTTTCCCCAGCAATAGTCTCCACATGACAGCTCCATGTCACAAGCATTGCTGGGGATGAAGTTTAGCACAGCACATGGGAGGGACTGTCTGCTCAGTTGGTGTCACTCTGGAGGCAAGATATTTCAGATTCTCATCTTTTMCAGAAAGGAAGATGAATGAGAAACAACAGAACACAAGGAGTCCAGCCCAGATATGCTGCATGGGATTGYAAGGGGTCCTACAGACTACGTTTTCCAAGATACCTCTGTGATCAATGTCTCTCCCRTTGTTCACCCACAGAGCTGATTGGCACCAAGAGCCTCCATGAGTTTTGTGAAGCTTGTGAATGTGTAAGAAGTTTTAAGAATCGTGGAATACCATGTTGGAAGGACCTTGAGGATCATCTGGTCCAACTAAACTTTCAAGGCAAAAGCATGATCTAAAAGAAGCTCAGCACCCTCTTCAGCCAAATCTTAGAATTGTTCAATGCTGGGAACTCACCACTTCCCTGGGGAGATTATTCCAATGGCTGATTGTTCTCATTGTGAAAAATAGCCCTCTTGTGCACAATCTGAATCTCCCCAGGAGTAAATTGTACCCATTACTGCTCAACTTTCCCACAGACTCCTTGTAAAAAGAAATTCTCTCTCTTCTTTGGAGCCACCCTTTAAATGTTGGAAGATGGTGATAAGGTCTAGTCATAAGCCTTCTTTCCTCAAGATTCAACAATAAAATTGTGCAGCATATGTTCATGCGTGATCTTTTTGAAAACCAGTTTGTAAGTGCAAAATTGGCAGAAAGCTCTCCAGATGTGGATAAAAAAACAGAACTACAGTGTGCAGTGGATTCTAGCCCTTCAGGGCACTGTTTGTACACCCTGAAGCATGTGCTGCTGCCTGAGGTTTATCTTTTTGTCTATATTCTTAATTTTTAAAAATAAGTTACATTTGTGCCTGGCTCCTTGATCTGCTTGTTCACCATTTTGGAATAATCTTCCTTCTCATATTTCATTGTCCTTTAAGATCAGTATAGTTGGTGGGTTTAGACATAACAGTGGATCAAGTGAATTATCTCTTGATCTTTTCATGTTTCTCCTGCCTGTGCTGCTGTTCATCTTCTCTGAGACTTGGCAGGTAGCTGTGACACACACCTGTTTCATCTGACTAGACAATCACAGCACTGTAATTTCTTTCAAGTAAAGTAAAATACAGGTGCAAGAAGCAAGGGTGTAGACTCTACCAATGAATTTTTAAGTTTTTGAAATGTGATGTGACAACATCTTTGATTGCATCACTCCCTCATACACTACAGAAGAAGGCTGCTTCTGAAAAAAAAAGGAAAAGGAAAAAGAAAAGGAAAAGGAAAAGGAAAAGGAAAAGGAAAAGGAAAAGGAAAAGGAAAAGGAAAAGGAAAAGGAAAAGGAAAAGGAAGAGGAAGAGGAAGAGGAAGAGGAAAAAACAAAGCCAGAACAAAGGATGCAACTAAGCACAGTTTTACTGATGGTTCTCTTCAGGTTTTCTATGGCACAGAACACAGTAATTCATTGGCAAAGAGAGGAGACTGTTATTTTTCTTTTTTTACATGCTCATACCCTAGGTATTGAACCTATTTTCTTTCTTCCTGACAATTATTCCAAATAGAGGGTACTAAATGTGCCTACAGAGCCTGTTCCACCCACAGCTATGTTACAAAAGCATAGTATTTCCAATAAATAATACATAGGAGCAATTACAAGCCTGTTTAAGATAGAATGAAAGAAAAGAAAGTAAAAGCAGACAAGATGAGCCCTGAGTGCATCCACTGCTGGAACAGAAAGTCCAGGTACTAAATAATTCAGACAGTGTGTTCAGAGACAAGGACAGCCCCTATTCAAGCTGTGTCTTCTGTGGACAAAATAAATGTTCTTGTCCTGTGTTTCATGTCCCCGAATTCTCAGGAGAAATGCTAATCCCATTTATAGTTTCACAGAATTTCAGTCAATTTATTTGTTTGCTATTTTTTAGGCATGCATTTTTCTGCTTCCCAGACATTCATCCCAAAAAGCAATAATCAGTACTAGTAATATAGAAGAGCATCCCCCCTCCTGCCCATGCCCCAAATATTCAAGTAACAGGGATGTTTTCCTGATTACTATATTCACTATCATTCATTCCAACCTGTGCCACCTCTTTGGAAAGCAGCTCCAGGGAGACAGCCCTTTGCAGAGCCAGGAATAACAGGTGTAGTGCTGGTCCTTACTGTCAGTGTTCATCCAAACGGCATCTGTTTGGAACAAGTAGGTCTTGGTCCAGTAAAGGCAGATTGTGCCTCCCGATCCAGACATGCTTCTGTCTCTGGCACCACCAAGGCCACCACACACCCAGCCCTGCCTGCGTTTCCTGCAGGATCTCCTCACTATGTCATATGTGAAAGGACCATCCAGGCAGGGGATGCTGAGACTAGTAGCTGGGGAGAAAGCCTGCTGGGAGCTGAAGGAGGCCCTGGCCATAGGTGGATGTCTTAACCTGGAGAGCCCACCTGGCTACTGCTGGCAGCCACTTTGAGGGGGACTTCTCCAAGTCTGGCCTATGAGAGTTTATTGTGACCTGCAGGGATTCACTGGATTTGGCCTAGCCAKTGCCCCAGGCTAAAACCACAATAAAGCCAAATGCAATGGCTCAGGCTTAGAGAAGTTTGGCCTTTTTCTTTATGGCATCCTGCTCCATTCCTCTTGTTCTGCCCCTGATTTCTGGCATGCCTGTAGGAAACTCACTCCTGCTAAAAGACTAATGCCAGTTCACTTGGCACCTGCCCAGGAAGCTGCCTGTTCCATCAGGGTCAGTGGGTAGCTGTGGCAGCTGAARGCAAGCTGCTTCCTCCCAAGACAAATTCCCAGAGGCTTGAAACATGGCTTAGCATAGTCTGAAAGTTACACAAGACAGCCACAGGCTAGGCATGCCCTAGAAAAGCCTGCCTGCAGTGATGTCTCCTGACAAGATGTGATTGCTTAAAGTTGTACCAACACCCAAAAGTTCAGAGTGACAAGACCCYCAACAAAACACAAAGATGTTTAGCACTTGTCCTTCAGGTGCCCATCCAGCACTCTCAGAGGTGCTGGTACCTCCAGGGTATTCCTGGTTCAGTTAGAAACAGGACATTGTTCTCACAGTGCAGCTCATCCTGTGGTCCTTGTTTTCCCTCATTTCTTGGGACAAACATCTGATGAAGATGGTTTTTGTTAGCATAACTGACAGCAGATATGCTATCAGTTTTGTGCTTTCCACAATTAACTCTTCCGATTAGGGAATGACTCTAGCTGGAAAGCACAAAAGCACAAAAAGTCACTGATGCCATGTCGCAGTTATGAAAGGAGCAAGCTTGGTCCCCTGTCTCTTCTCAGTCCCCACCAGTCTCACCTGCTGGGACCCACCCCAGTGTTGAAGGATGGCAGCCACTACGACAAAAATGCCCACAGGTGTTAGACCCTGCTCAACACAGATGCCTGGTGGCCAGGGCTGGAAGCACTCCTGCATAGYCCCCAGCCTGCCTGCTCCCTGGCTGGGGACAGTGGGACAGGTCTTGACCACCAGATCCTGCCATGACTCCCCTCACTGCACCCTGACAAGGTGAATGTGGAGAAATATGCCACAAAGCAAAGACTTTGTCCCCTCATCCTTTAGCTGGCAGGTGCTTCAACAGCAGGATGATGAGGAAAGGAAAATTACTTTCCTTGCTTTGACTTCTGTTTGAATTACTATGTCTTTTGCATATGATTGTAGAATATTCTTCATAAATACTGTTTCTCCAGTCTCTGAATTTATAACTTGCAAAGCTSTTTAGAATTTTACCAGGATGTAGGTCCTCTCTCTAGGCTTACTTATTCAAGTGGTACCCAAATTGTGTTAGATTTTTTCACAAGATTAGCAGTGTTCTGTATTTTCCTGTCTATGTCACTTAAACTCTCATTCCAGGTCCTTCTTCTTTACATCTTAAATTCACAGATCTCTTAGTCCTTGACCCCTAACATCTTAGCTTTGTCTCCTCAGGGCAACTCAAAACTAAGCTTCTTTGGCATCCT